GCTCCCTACTCACAGGCGCCTCTGGCAAGCTCGCCTTCTCGGCCGCCAACAGCATGGACTTTATCTCGTCGTGCGCCGCAGGCTCTTGGGTCGCCGACAATCACGCCCTCTACAACATTGCCAACCCGACCTGCACATATGGCTATGACGAGGTCTGCACCCTCGCCTCAGGCGCCAACCAGGCCACTTGCGCCCATCAGCTCGGCTCCCAGGAGGCTCTGACGTCGGCTCCTGTGTACAACATCGAGTACCCTTCGGGTCAGAAGGTGCTTGCCACTTGAAGAAGACTTTACGACTTTGATGGTGTGGTGATGGAATGTTTCTTAGACGCCGGGCATATTCACCCTTTTTTGTGTGTGTGTGTGTGTGTGTGTGTGTGTGTGTGTGTGTTTCTTCTTGTTTTTTGTTTGAGCTTCCAGCATTGGCGTTCGGGGACGGTGCAGTGCTGACTAAGGACATGGTGTTCAAAAGAAAATTGATTCAGTTGACGTGCATTTACGATATTGCATAGCTGAGGGGCGCAAAGGCGTTGCATGCGTCAGATACCGGAATTGAGGCTTTGAAAATCAATCAAGTCGTGTTTTCTGAGACTCACAGTCGTGCTTCTAATATCATCTCAGGTCAGACGGATTCGTGGCTATGGAGCCAATAATTGATGGCCTAATCCTGCCCGACATACATTCTCGATTCTTCGCCAATGGCAGTGCTTGATTATTAATGCAGCATTATTTCTTATAGCTGGCTTCTCCCTCGAGTGGATTTGTCATGGTTCTTACGACGAAGAGGAAGTAATTGAGACACTTTTCCGTGACTCGCGCTCAACCAAGATACCATACCCCAAGCCTTCAGGATTCGGAAAGGTCATGAGAGTGAGAGATACTAACATGTAAGGCTGTCATTTTGTTCATCGCTGGATCTGGTGCACTGGAAGGAAAACTTTATGCTGTTATTTCACTGTGCAAGTAAATGGCACCTGAGGGCCCATAAAATGGAAGTGTTGATGACAGCTACAGCTACTAGACCGCCAGGCTTAATCATCTCCCGGGAAATGTATTCACCGTGTGCCAGAGTCGGAACAAATGCTAGGTAGTCTGACTGATTCCATAAGCTGCATGCGGATGCCGAGTGGCTTGCTGCGTACGGGTGCAAGTCGAAATGGATTTGTCAAGACAAAATATTCTAGAGCGGTACATGTGGGTCTTACTCATAGACATGACACAAAATTCCATCTGACAGAACTGACAATTTGGATTTATTGTGCTCAACACATCTGGCCCGCCCCTTTGACTACATAAAATTCCACAGTTCCGCTCACGTTAATTTCGAATTTACACCGAAGCAAAACCCATCTCATGACCACAGCTACCAGCAACAGCAGCACCACCAGCAAAATGGCAAGAATGAGAGCTCTCGTCACAGAAGGCCAAGAAAAGGTTTCTGTTCAAGAAATCGACGTGCCTACACCAGCAGAGGGCGAGATCCTGGTCAAGGTGAACTACGTGGCCCAGAATCCAACCGATTGGTAAGTGACAGAGCTCGCTACCGCCTGTCCGGGGCTTCCTTTGCAGTCACTAGTTGCTAAACCCTCCTGCGTCTTACAGGAAAGCCGCCCACGGCGCACCCCCAGGCCGCATCGTTGGCTGTGACTTTGCCGGCACCGTTGCGGACCCCAACGGCTCGTCGTGGCGTGAGGGCCAGCGCGTCGCGGGCTTCGTGCAAGGCACCAGCACGAACGGCATTGGCGAGCGGCCTCTCCGTGGCGTGTTTGCCGAATATGCCGTGATCGAGGCGAGCCTCGTCTACAGCATCCCGGACGGGATTACAGATCAACAGGCTGCCGTGGTCCCACTAGCCTTTGCAACGGCCGTGCAAGGTCTGTTCCAGCGCCTCGCGCTGCCCGAGCCCAGCAAGCCTGCCAAGTCGGCCTTCCCTTTGCTCATCAACGGAGGTACCACCTCTGTTGGCAAGTATGCCATCCAGCTGGCCAAGCTAGCCGGCCTCTTCGTCGTGGCTACGGGTTCGAAGCGCAACCATGAGCTCCTGAAGTCACTGGGGGCCGATGCAGTGGTGGACTACAACGATGCGGACTGGCCGGAGCAGGTGCGCAAGGTCACGCATGACAACCTGGAGCACGCCTTCGACTGCATTGCCGAAAAGGGCACGTATGAGGCCAGTGCTGCTGCGCTTTCACCGGCAAAGGGCGGGCACGTGATTGGGCTGCTGCCGCCAGGCAAGGCCCGCGAGCAAGTAGCGAGCAAGGTCAAGCTCGAGTGCACGATTGTTTACACGGTCTTTGAGCGGCCACTCGCGTACGGAGCGTTTGACTACTGCGGATCAGCCACGCCGCAGGACAAGGCGTTTTGGGAAAAGTACCTGGGCCAGCTGCCTGAGCTCCTGAGCAGCGGCAAAGTCAAGCCGAACCGTATTCACGAGCGTGGTGGGCTTGAGGAAATTCCCAAGGGCTTTGAGCTGGCAAAGGAGGGCAAAATCAGTGCTGAGAAGCTGGTGTACAAGATTTGAAGCCATGTGGTGATCGTGTCACACAAATCAATAACCATTTTCGAGACTACCTATAATGAGGACAGCTATCTTGAGTTGTTGTCATAGCAATACACAAATCCAAAGTGCTCACACTCCATTGTCTTGTTTGGATGACTCTCACGACGCTTGAATGATATTGAAGCATCGTAGCTGCCAAACCATAGCTCCCACGCGGATGACGTAGCTTTACACCAGATGACCAATCAGAACGGTCTCTGACTGGGTATGCCTGGCCCTCTGAAGCCGCGCGCCCCCACAGGGCCTGGAAGACATCTGAACCCCGCCACTGCAACCGCTAGAGCCAATGCGGGGAGCCATTAAACGCTGACCATTACACCACCACTCTTGCTCGTTCAAGCCCATTCCAACAGTATTTCGTCAACTTCTTCTCCTTGTCGCAACTTGCATCTTCATGCTGCTCCAGGTCATTGCGCCTTGACCCATCAAGCATCATGACTTCAAGAGGAGTGTCTGTCCTCAAATTCGTCGGCACAGTCTCGCTGGGCCTGCTGACGGTAAGTGCTTGCCACTCACTCCAAGACTCCTCGCCTGATGAGGCGACTCATAACCAAAGCCCCCCGCACGCTGTATTGTCACATCATTTCAAAGCACTTCATTGCCCTGCCGGCGCCGATGCTATCTTGCCATCATTCGGTGGCCGCAAGTGAACCAATGTGTCTTTGCTAACTTTTCAATCTCCTTCAATAGGGCGTTTCCTACTCTCTCTCAGCCCTCACTGTGCCCACCCTCCTCGACCTGCCCTCCGCCTCGACCGCTTCGCGCGCCTTCAAGACCCTCTCCAGCACTGCCAGACGACACATGCGCTCCATCGCCGGAGTCTCCAGCACCGCTTTCCTGCTCGCCTACGCTCTGTCTCCACGTGCCTTCCGCCATCCGTATCTGCTCTATGCCTCACTGCTGGCCGTGGTTTCGCAGGTCACCCTCTATAACTCGTACATGCCATGGCTGAGCTTGACCCCTAAGCGCGCTTCGTCCGGCTCCAACTCGTCGTCCTCCGCTTCCGCCACAGCCGCTTCGAAACCGTCCCGCAAGGAGCATTCTGCCACTCGCCGCATGGAAATGAGCTACGACATGGTGGGCTCAGACATTCATAGCGAGGGCACCCTCGACTCTGCCAGCGACAAGAGCGCCGAGGAGGACACGGCAACCAACACGACCTCGGACAACGTCAATGGCGAGGAGGTTCGCGGCGAGGTTGAGTACTACCTTAAGAGGCAGGCCACCCGCACGGCTGTTGCTGGTCTTGGTTTCTTCCTGGCCATTGTCGGCATGTGGGGCGATGGCTCAACAAACTACGTCTCCGAGACCTATGTCAGCGTTGTTGGGGTCTAAGTAGTTGATGCTCTGGATCTTTGGAGAAGATTGCATAACTCGACGCCTCAATATGCTTGTACTATGGGCGGAGGCTCGTCCGAGGGATCGCGGTCGGCAACGGGGATGCACTAGCAAAGGATGCTTATGACGGTTGAACTATGAGCCGCTGGCATTTGTGGTGATTTTTTGCACACACAAGAAAAATGCTTTTGGGGTTCTGGGCTTAATAACGCCTTTCCTCTCACTCTCTCACTCTTCTCTGCTTAGCCAACACAAGAACAAACTTTCGTATAGTGAATACATGTTTTTTTCCCTTCCCGATTTGCATGTGGTTGAATAATGCTAGGTCTTTCTACATGGTTTTCTCTGTGCATGTCTCTGAATGGGTGCTTGGCTTCAGATGACTCAATGATTTGCTATCTACGACCTGGGTATGTACAAGTATATGGCAAAGACCGGACATGGTAGATGCGCTCGGTGGATCAGGACTGTCTATTTATAGTTTAAGCTTAAATTGACCCACTTACAAGATTGGGCCCCAAGATCACCGTCTTGCAGGACTATAGAGAAAACCAGGGATGGACCTGGAGATCAAAGAAGAGATTGTGAATTGACTGTGAACCCATCAAGAAGACCAGCAATACCCTGAAATTATTTGTGGTTGCAGTGTGTTTGCTGGCTCGGCCAGTCTCAAGATATCAACAGGTGAGAGGTCCTGTATTCCCGTTTCAACTTCTGCTTGCCTAATATCTCACATTAGAGGTGTCATTTGTTGCCAATAGTTTGCCATGGTGAACATTGGCGTTGAATGTTTTCTGAGCAGGCATAGACAAAGCACCAAGTTTTCAAAGAGATTCGTTTTGGTGGTCACAAGCCTCCCACGCTTTGATTCAGGCAGACCAAGGTGTTTCCAAGGTTCTGTCGTCCTTATACCCAAGGCCATCGACTCTGCCTCAAGACGCGTGATTCACAGACAGCAGAAATCTTCTAGGTACCTGGGAACCTGAACAATGGGCAGCCAGTTCGATTCAAGCCATCGCCCTTCTCTTTTGCCTCTGGCCACCTGCCATCCCCTTCCCAAGTCTCGGAAAGCCGCCCACGCAGCCCCCACCCCAAAAAAAAATTGCAGAGTACGGGATTTGCACCCGTGTATCCTGATTTTGTCCCAGGCTATCTATCTTCCTTTCCTTTTGCTCCACTTCCCTTGTGGGGAGACAGATGGCAGGAGGTAGGCAAGAAAATGGTGTTTGTGATGTGATAGCAGGTGGTGGGAATCAGGCAGGTTAACTACTACCTCAACCCTGCGTCGTACACCACTCGGCCAAGTGAGCAAAGAATTCTGATCTGTGGTCTTTGTTCTCTGTTTGTTGAAGATAGGATGTTTGGGGGGGTTATATGTATCGCTTTTGGGAGGAATCTCATATATTGCTGATTGGGTGCTGGTTGATTGCAGGGGTATGGGTCCACGGGGCAGGGATGTGGGCTGGCGAGGCTGGCAGCCGAGTGACGGGTGGTTGCAAGGGTGCAGAGTTGTGGGTGTTGGCTGTTTAGGATTGGGGGCTCTGTTCTGGAAGATGTTCCTATAGGAGGGACTCTGCAAACGTTGAGCAGACATCAATATGACCAAGCAGGTGGAATCACTGCATAGCTTCTCGAACCAAGAGTCTTGTGATTCATGAACAGATAGCAAGTTTGATCTGAGGAGTCTTGTGTCTTTAGGTCTTAAAAAAGGAAAACAAGTGTTCTTCCGCTACACTCCTCTGAGATCCTCGTTATCAACAAGAACATCCAGTCTGGGAGATTCTTATGCTTACTTGTGACCTTCAGACACTAAGTATCTTGGACCATTTTATCAAAGGCTCAAATGATCCATTATACCAGACCTTAGATACCTTGGCTTGACATCTCTGGTGTAATGGCATCGTAAACACTTTGATTCAGTTGCGCTGAAAATTGTCTTGAGATCTGTTTCATATGTAGTGAGAGTGTAATACGCATACGAAGGTGATCAAGGGGTTCTCAATCTGGACCTTGAGCAAAAATACACTTTACACCGGCAATTTTGGATTAAGCTCGAATTCGAAAGTGATCCGGTTTCAATCGAAAGCCAGTTCAAATCGAGAGATCCTTGAACAGCATTTCCATCATGGCCTGCGCAAGTTATAAGCTATTGACCCTAGATAACGAGTGGGTTGGACCAAGTACATTTCAACCAATCTATCAATCTTCAAGTATGACAACGCCCCCAATCAGCCAGAAAACAAGCAATATTGCATAATCTTGAAAGCAAGCAGTTCGTCTCTTGGATGTCCGGAGATCCGTCCCAGCAAGTATCATTGTATTGACCCAGTTTTGATATTTCTTTGTGCATTCCATATTCAATCTGTAATACAAATCACCATCATCATTCTCATCAACCTGAATTCTCGTACTTTGCACGGCGAGAGAAAACGGAAATGTTCGCTTCAAGAGCCGTTCGTTACTGGCAACATCGATACCAAATATGAAGACCGAGATATAAAAATATGTCGCTTATCCACTCTAGAATACCCCGGGGATCGGCTCCTCTGCTCTCGGTGATCGTATGGCTTACTCTTTTCGGCCGTTGCTAACACAGCGACCCACTCCAGCGACGTTATTCTATCCATGTCACTTCACCCAGCTAATTAGCCTGACATATCGTCCACCTTAAACCAAGTGTCAGCTTATCCATCCTCCCCCCCCCTCTTTTTTTTCCCCCTTCCTTTTTGTTCAGCTCAAAGATGACCCCCTGCATTTCAAATCTGACTGCATTCATAAGCCTAGCAAATCACAACCACTGCACTACCCAAGCTACTATGCTAAGCTGAACCATTGGCAGTTACTAGCATTCGAATACTCACTGGCCTTGTTTACCCCAGGTGGTCAGACGTTTAGATCCAATATGGATATTGAAGGAGTCAAATGGGTAAGGGAGCCTTATGACGAAGGAAGTACTGACCTTCTGGGATTCGACTTGGATCATGGTATAAACCCAGAAACAGTTGCCACCATTTATCTTAGTAGACTGGGCGCTGACATATATCACCCTTCTCTCCTGTTCTTCTATACTTCACTTTATTCCTGCTCAATCTTTTTGGGTTGTTTTTTCCCTCCTTTTTTCGTCCTTTTTTACAGTAACTTCTAATCGTCTCATTCCTTCCCCTACTCCCCGCCACAAAACCTAGCCACACACCAGGAACCACGACACAGTAACTACTCACCCACGCTACCCATAAAGCCATGGCTCCCAAACTCCGCTACCTAACAGACACCCGTGTGGTACAGCAGTCCGGCACAGGAGCTCGTTCTCTCCAGGTCATTTGCGCAGGCCTGCCACGATGTGCGACGTCGTCTCTGCAGGCGGCTCTCGAGACGCCTGCAATGGGGTATGACCCTTGTATGCATAGTAAGTGGGACGCACCATGACAAATGATCCATTGAGCGCCTAGGGAGGAGCGCGAGGCGACGGGAACGCGAATGAACAGGAGAGATGGACGAAAGAAGCCGAGGGATAAGAGAAAGGAGAAGCAGAAACCACAGACATGAGAAAAAGAATCACGGGATATTTGCAGCCTTGGAAAACGTGATACAAGAAGATGATGAGAAGCCCTCGCTCCGAAAATGAGGCGCAGAACCAGCAAGCTAACCAGCCCAAAGTGGCCCACGTCGCACCCCACGTCGACAGACTCGAGCTCGTCCTTGCATGCATGATCGAGACAGACACCGAAAAGAGACAAAAGATGCTCAGGCCGCTCTTTGACGGCTATGCCTCCACGGCAGATTTCCCAGGCATCGTCTTTGTCGACGAGCTGATGGACATGTATCCCGATGCCCTCATCATTCTCAACCAGCGGAACGATGCCGAGAGCTGGGTCACGTCGTTTACGAATGCACTTCAGTTTTTTGTGAGTTTCCCTGCTTCCTTTGTGTCTGGCACATAACAAACGATCAGCAAATGAGCCAGCTATAGCCAGGAACACGATCGCTCAAGTACTCACAATCCTTACGTCTAGCATTCTCTAAAGTATCGCCTCATTACCATGTTGTGGAAGACCGATCGTCTTCATTACCAAGTACAGTGCGTAGCACCAGGGCTTGTATCCTCGAAGATCGGAACCAATGCTCCACTGCCCTCCGTGAAATTATACCACGCTTACAACGACTGGGTGCGACGAGAGGCCTCGAAAAGAGGACGAGACATTCTAGAATGGAAGGCTGCGGACGGCTATGGGCCGATCTGCAAATTCCTCGGCAAGGACGTGCCCAAAGATGCCCAAGGAAATGAGCTCGAGTTTCCTAGAGTGAATGACCAAAAGACGATGCGTTTCCTACAAACTATCTTGCTGACTCGGGGTCTGCTGAGTTGGGCTGCGCTGGGGGCGGCTGGGTGGGCTGTCGGGAAGTATGGAGTACAGCTGACATTCGGCTACGCCAAAACGATTTTTGGGTCCGCATCATATTAGACTCTATAGAAACGGCGTTGACCCTAACCCTACGAAGGGTCTGTACAAGCTTCTTTTCTCCTTTTTTTACACCACAAAATATAGCCGATAATCAATAACACAGCGCTCTGTATTCTTCCTTTTGTCCAGCCCTTTTCGAGAGCATGAAGGCTATTGCAATAGCTTAATCGTCACAGTCCCGCTAGAGCGAAACGACGCTGGACAATAATTTTAGTGGAATAAGGAAAACGTAATTGTAAGGAGTCGAATGGAAAATTACGTTGTGGTTCATGCTTCACTCCATCATAATTGCGAGAAGATCCAGAGAGGTGAAGGAGCCAGTCAGGATGTGATGTTCCCCAAAGCAGACAAAGATGGAACCAGCATTCTAGTAAGAAATTTGCGCAGTGGTAAATGTGCCAATCTAGAGGTTGACCGTGAGAGTGGCATTTCAATGCGTGGTTTATTTTTTTCAAGCCAAAGACCTCAAAGAAAGGGAATCAACCATGGGAGAAGCAATGCAGTTTATGCAATGGTTGTGGACTCATCAAGCCCTGACTTGCGCCACTACCGGTACTGAAAGCCGCTGGTCTTGTGTCAGGCGAATACGGCAGGATAAAGAAACAGATAGAGGCCAGCTTACACTCACTGTGAGCAGCTCGGCGGTAGTCGCGCGTGGCAAAGAGGCAAGAACAAATGATCTAAAAGACCGAAAGAGCCAAGCCTCGAAATATGATCCCGATGTCGCCGTCTACGGGAGGCGACCGTGTAACGCAGCTAGCAAGCGGTGGACGGGCAGACGGGGTCGGCACGTCTCGTGGTGCTCGATCCTTGTCAAGCCGAGCAAATTGGCACCAATTGTCTCCACATGCCGGGGAGAGTCGGCGTCAAAGCGGCCACGCTTGAGACGACTCTTGCATTTCGGTACTAATTCTCGCTCACGACAACAGTATGAGGGGTATCTTGATTTGCGAGGAGTAGTTGAGAGCCTTGTATCATTCAGCGGAGCGCCGTTGGTTGGCTGGCAAACTATAATCTGCCAGCTGGTGGTGCAGCACCATGTCTGAAGCCGTGCCGGAAGGGGCAGCAAGCGGGCGTTGGCGGACGCTATGGACGGGAGGAGTGCAAATCGAGGCTAAACATGGCGTTCAAGTGATGTCAGCAATCTACCGCGCATACTTAGTCAGGGTAACAAAAGTCCCAGGGCAAAAGTCGAGCTGCTGGCTGCTGGCTGCTGCTGCGGTAGTGCAGGTAGGTGATTGCACAGGAGACGAAAGTCCAAAACGTGGCTGAGAGGCGTTGTGTGCGTGCGAATTGCTGAGTGACAAAAAACAATCCCAAAAATCAAACCCCCCCCAAAAAAAAACTAACACACGTAGCTGAGGAGTAAACAAAAATTCGTAGCACGAAAGTGTTGCTCGCAGCTCACAGTGATAGAGCTCTGACAGACCTGGGACAGCCCCGTTTCACGTCATAAACGCCCAGTTTTCCGCGGCGCGGCATGAATGCGAATCGCAGCAAGATTCATCGGCTGACCATTGTTTTTTCTTGCGTTGCATGTACGCAGCACTGTTTGGAAATGCTCACAGGTAGCGCAACCAGGCGAACAGGCAGTATAGCATTGTACCGTCGCCGATCGCCAAAGTGCCCGGCCCCCACGCGTGAACTGTCTGATGGTCTCGCGAATTGCAGTACTTTGTGGCAGCCAAAAACAGATTCGAAGAAACAAGCAAACAGAGGCGGATGAGACGGTCAAACCAGGATTTGCGATCGAGCCGGCACGGTAGAGGCGCCCCGAAGCAATCATGGTGCCAGGCAGGTGCCAGGCTGGTCAGCAGCAGG